CTTAAGCTAGATTAATAATGCTTTTTTAAAAGTTTGTTTATGAAGTGAAGATACCATAATATTTGCCATTTTTGATGCTGTTTTACTTTAAAAAACTACTCTGAAACAGACTAATAATACTTTATAGTTAATTCATGAAATATAGCCCCCCAGTGCATAGCGGTATGTCTGCGGACTTACAACGCTAAAATATGGGTTTCGATACCCGTGGTGGGCAGAGCACAGATAGCCCATTGTGTAGCTTTGTGCTTAATTTCAAACAAAAAAAAATCATTAAATATAGACGCTAGAAATGTACCTTTTTAAATATCAAGGTTGAAATAACAACAAATGATGGAAGGATATAAATTGATATTTTCTGTAAATCTATTAATTTTCTTGGGTATCACGACTTTAATTTATCTCAAATCATCTTAAACACAGTAAGTTAGATGTCCCACAAACTCTGGGGCTCTTCGGTTAAGGAATGCTATACAAGGTTGAAAAACAAAAGCTTTTCTCGAAGCCATTATCAATTAAGTATTATAAGTAGGTTTTTTATATTTCTATATCTAAAATTGGCAGATTGGAAATTATATTTTTTCATAATAGTGATAATAAGAGTATAAAAATTGATCTCATGAAACGTGTGTTTTTGTCGGTATAAATTGATAAAGTCTAATAAACAGATTTACAGTGGAATAATATATGTTTAATTTTTTTAAAGCACCTATTGTAAAACTGTGTATTATACTTAAATGTTAAAGAATGCTTTTAGACTGTAAATAACTGTTTCATGTAGACAACCTAATAACCTTTATAGCAAGACTACACGCAAAATGTTTCCAAGGAACGCAAAAGGTATTTTCCCTTGTTAGAGAATTAACTGAGTATTTGTCATTACGAGTGAAATTAGTTGATATAAATGGATTCCAGAACCAAGTAGTGAGAAACTGAGTTCCTCTTTATAACCGTAGTTCCAAAAGTACGATTTATTACTCCAGCTGCTTTACTTGTTAAAAAGATGTATGCTGGAGAAATGGATCATTGAAGACTAAGAGTTAATCTTCATTAAACTCATGCGAGAAATCCGACGGTAAGTTTGTTTTTTTACTTGTGAGTCAACTAAACCTTTGGTATGATATGTCTTTCAACTATGAACTTCTGAAAATAGACTATTATATCAATTCAAATGGTTCCGTTTTTAAATAATGTTGGTTATTTTCAAAAATTCCGATTTAAGATAAAAGTCAAATGTTCATTTCGTGCTCAAGGAGAGTTTAGGTTCGTGTAATTTATTTCTACTCTTTTATATCTTAGTTATACGTTAACTGTTTTATTGGTTTTTGTA